CCTTCCAGCTGGTACAGCTGGCAACAACTCACAGAGACAAAACTGGGGGAGGCAGGCCGACCAGTTCAGGTGGTCGGCCGACCACTTCCCCTGGTCGGCCGACCAGTTCAAAAGGTTCAACTCAATGAAAGGTGGTCGACAGCCCCATCTGATGGTCTCCACATTAAATGCAAGCTAGTGCTATGGTGGGCGACCAGTAAATCTGGCTCAAAGACCAAGGAGACTAGCTTATTGACAAGAAAAATGGCTGGCAGGAGAAAAGTGGTCTCCAAGGAGAAAAGGTGGTCTCCCACCCTTGTACCACCTCCCCAATAATGAAAACAAGGTCCATGCCAGAAATGAACCAAGACGGATGCAAAACGAGGGTTCGGGGGTCAAAACGCACAGCCGGGTGCCCCAAAAACAGGCTGTTAAGCATTGAAAGTGGCGTACGACCACAAAGGTGGTCTCCCGGGCCGCAATGTCCCTCTAGACAGAGGAAACAAGGTGTGTGCCAAAAACCGTGCCAAACGGAAAATGTTAAGCGGTCCCGAACCGAGGCGTGTAGCCGACGGCTCCGAAAACTGGAAACTGGTCTCCAAACGGGAATAGTGGCCTGTGACCACGAAAAGTAGCCTAAGGCCATTGAGAGATGGTCTGCAAGACCTCACCCTCCCTCCGGGAAGAGAAAACAAGACCTGGTCCGCAAACCGAGACAAAGCACAAAAAGTTCCGAAGCCCGGAGGCAAGGCTCTCAGCCGAGAACTCCGAAACTTCAGAACGAGCACAACATGCACCATCACCGAGCGCTCTACCGATGACGTTTGAGTCTTAAGGTCGGTCAAAAATGGGGTGTCTACACATAGTCATCCCAAATCCGGTCTTAAAAGATTATCTAAATTCAAGTCCGCATACTTAACCCAATAGATATGAATTATTAATTTTATTTTTTCGTTCTTGAAAAGCTATTAAATTATTTAGACCATTTCGATAATTATTTGAATTGGAATATTGATAAAAATTTAATTGTAAAATAAATATGATATTTCAAGAAGTGTTTTATTTAACTTTTAGAAATATATATATATATATATATGTGCTTTTATTTATATTTTATTATTTTTTAATTCATTTTATAACTAAATAATATAAAATATAAAATATAAATTTTATAAATGATTGGGATAAAACTCTTATCCCAAGCCCAACCCAAAAATTAAATGGCCTGATTTTTGTATCCTAAGGGGGTTGCGAATTGAGTTGAGTTGGGTGGCTTCCCATTTGCCATTTGTCTGAACTTCAGTGAATTGAAAAAAATCAATTCACATTCCATCCGCTTAATTAGTGAATGTGGATTGAATGGATTGTGTTGGTTGGCAGGTGGATGCAGATGTTTGGGCATTACTATTTTATGCTATTTTATAAACTATTTTAGAGTAATTTTTAATATTTTGAGCCTTATTTGAGTCTAATTTTTTTATTCTTCATTTTTATAATTAAAATAAAGGCCAAACTATTATATTTCATATTACTAAATAGAATGTTTTTATTTATTTATTTATTTTTTCAACATACAAAGCTTAAAAATCTAACATCATTTTCTTAAGAAGGGGGTGAATTGGATAGCTTCTCATCCGTCATGTATTTGAACATAGGTAGATTTAGAAAATCTCCATATGCATCCGTTCACCCATATTATCAAGGCCGCTTAAAAATGTGTGGATTTAGTTAGATTAATAAGTTTTGGTGGATCAATCGGGTCCGTGAGCAACCTTAGCTCATATTATAGGCTAAACAGTTTTTTCAAACCCTACGGGCTTGTTTGTTTTGGGGGATAGAGGGAGGGATTGGATTAAGATAGAGGTGAGACTCATTAATATTGTGTTTGTCTGCAAATTTGGGGAGGGGGTTCATAAGCCCTCCGGATTAGGATGGACCTTGGCTGTTGAGATTTATAGTCTGGCCAAAGACTAGGTATTAGAAAATTAGTCCGTTGGTATTAGGGAGAGATTTACTATTTTACCCATGTTGTTGCCTTAGCTCATCACTTTTGTGGAAGCAGTAGCAAGCAGTAACATAGGCATGAAGAAGTTGAGCATCTACTGCATCCGTAAATATATATATATATTTTTAAAGAAAGCTATCAATTTATTTGGGATTTTTTTGGTATTTGTGAATGAGTTTTGATTTGTGAGTTTCTTTGCTCCAATTTCTCTCCCCTTTTCTTTTTTTTTTTTTTTTTTTTTTTTTTTTTGTGGTTTGTGATTTGTAAATAAGTTTCTTTTTTTTTTCTTTTTCTTTTGGGTTTATGATCTGTGATGATTACTAATAAAAAATGAAGAATAAAGATTGAGAGCTATAATTTTGGAACTCTAAAGAGAGCTCTAGCGATGTAGCAAGGATTGAGGCCTACATGTGATGTGATGTGATGTGTGTGCTTATGTTTTTGTTTTGTTTTTTTTCCTCTTACCACATTACTAGAGCTCTCTTTAGAGTTCCAAAATTAGAGTTCTCTATCATTGTTGAAAGAGTAATGATACATAGCTCTAATTTGAGAGTTCTAAATAGAGCTTTAGTGAGGTGGAAGTGAGAAAGAGTAGAGAGAGATAGAAAGAGGAGTGTGGGCCCCACCTTTACATGAGTGCCTACACATCATTAGAGTTATATTAGAGTATTCAAATTAGAGCTCTCAAACATTATTGTTGTTGAAAAATGAATTGGTTGATTGTCTTCTTGTTCTTCATCATTATTTTCTTCTTCCTATTATTATTCTTCTTCAGCGGATGGGATATGTTGTGAACCAAAAAGAAATTGTTCCTCACATTATTTTCTTTTTCTTATTCTTCTTCTTCTTCTTCTATGGGTGAAATATGTTGTGAACCAAAAAGAAATTGTTCAGATTTTTCTTTTTGTTAACTCTGCCCAGAAATTTTTGCTTGCTTCAAATCGAGACATTTTTGAAGCTAAAATTTGATAATAATGCAAAGAGTATTTGTGAAATTTTACATGGTTAATTTCACTCCAATCTCTCAAAACAAACATGAACTATTGCTAGTTCACTAGTTACAAACAAACACAATTTTTCTTAGCTCCTTCACTAATAGTTCCCTTACCAACAATTCTATACAACCTACTTCTAAAAACAAACGGGTCCTAAAAATATTGAACTGAGTTGAATGGGTTGCACGACTCGATGGCCACCTCAACAATAATGTGCTTTTCTTTATCCTTTATTATTTTTTAAATTTATTTTACAACTAAATAATATAAAATATAAAATATAAAATATAAATTTTATAAATGACTAGGCCGGACCGGGCTAGTATAAACCTCTTATTCCAAGCCCACTTTGAAATTGAAATTAGTTGATTTTTGTATAGTCTATCGTATAGACTAAATATATGTATATTTTAAAACTTAAAAGATATTGAAATGAGTTGAGTAGCTTGCATGGTTCGATGGACACCCTAGGGGTGTAAATTTGGCTTGGTCCGGCCTATCCGGGCTCGGCCCATACTGAGCCTCGCGGTTCCTGCCAAAATTCAGATCAGTGCGGGTCGGCCCACAAGCCAAAAAATTAGGCCCAGGCCCATGGGGATTCGAGCTTTGGGCTAGTCAGCTCAGTGGGCCTGGGCCTGGCCTCGAGCTTGGGCGGGCCTAACCTTTTTTTTTTTTAATAATTTTTTTTGTCAAAATTTTATTATTTTTCACTAAAAAAGACACTGCGCCTCGGGTGGGCTGGCCGAGTCGAGCCTTGAATGGGCCTTAAGCGGGCCGATAGGTTGGGCCATGGGCCGACTTCAAAATGATGGCCCAGAATCAGGCCTAGGGGCTCGGACTAGACTTGGGCCTGGGTCCAAATGGGCTAGGCCCACCTTGGGCCACGGGCGGGTTTCGGGCCGCGGACCATTTTTACACACCTATGACCACCCCTGCTATACTTGGGGACTTATGCCTTTGCTATATATTAACCGCCTATGTAATAAAGTGTGCTTATATTGACATTTTTCTTTTCGTTTTAAAATATTAGTCCCTTATTTTATTTTTTATAATTCTAAAATATTAATTTCTTTTTAAAAATTAAGAACTAAAATAATATAAAATTTTTATTTTGTCCTTTTAAATTCATTAACATTAATATAAACAGAAAGTATAATTATGACATTATACTACTAAAGGCTAGTTTTAGAAAGTTAATATTTTTAAAATGTAATAATTGTACTATAAAAAAAAAGTTAAATTCCCCTAAATAGACTAATATTTTAGAGCAAAAGGAGTATCATATTTTATTTATTATTTTATGTGCCATAGTTGCATTAAAATTACAAAGGCCCTGTTGGGTAGGGTTTATTTTCAGTTTATTTCAGTTTTTTACCTTAATTTAAGTTATTTTGATGTGTTTGGTTTAGCTTAACAATACAGCTTATAGCTTTTTGTAAGTCAAAAATCAACTTATTCTTTGAGTGGGGGAGGAGAAACTTAATTTATAAGTCAAAAATCAGTTTATATTCACAGTTATAAGGTATAAGCTGTTAGGCTATAAGTTATAATCACTTTCCCACAGCTTTACCAAACGGGGCCAAAGCAAACAGTAATATACATTCCAACATTATTGATTAAAATTATAAAGATTAGTGACCCGCTCATGATCTCCTCAGTCACTACAGGAAATTAGAGTTTTAGCGGCGTTTCAAAAACGCCACCAAAAGCCTCAAAAACGCCGCCAAACGTTACAGAAATGTTTAATATTTTCGTCACTGATACGGCTGCCGCAATAGCTTTGCAAAGTTTGAAAAACGTCGCTAAAAATATTAGACGGCGTTTTTTAAAACGCCGCAAAATCTTTGACATTGTTGGAACTTCCGTTACTAATAGTTGACGTCACAATGACGTCATTTAGTGGCGTTTTTAAACGCCATTTTTTATTTATTTATTTATTTTTGGGTGTGTGTTATCATATAAAACTGGGAAAACAGACCAACTCAATTCCCATCAGTTGCTTTTGCAAAAACACATACCAATGAAGCAAAGATGACATACTATTCAATCCAAAGTATCAATACAAATTAACAGCTTTAAGCATCAATACAAATTAATAACTAGTAGCTAATCTAACAACAATACACAATACTCTAATAGCAATTCACTACATCAAGCAGTTCTAAAAGCTGTTTCTCACAACTGGTCACATCAACCCAAACTTCCACCTGAGTTGTCGACTTGTCTCCAAGGTGTTCAGAATTTGCAAGTATATGCCGATTAGCACCAATATTTAGATTGACAACCTTTGACGAGGAACAACAAAAGAAGATGTTAATAAGTATATAAATAAAGATTATAAACTACGATTCATATTACATACTTGACTACAGTGTGTGTTAACTGAGCATTGGGATGGCTGAATCACATAATTACCCAAAGTCCTTGAAATTACAAACCTAATAATTTTTCTAATGTTTTAACATGTCCCCAAGGGTAACCCCAACGTTGTTGGATTTCTAGAATATAATAAAGCCTTTATCTAGTCAAAACTCAAAACACACTAGCTCTATGCAGAGCTGAGTAAAAAGTTATGGATGTATGCAGGGTGTAGTCAACCCCAAGTAATTGGAATTAAGGCTTGTCAAGTTGAATCAAGTAATCTAAGCAAAACAAAACCTCGAAATGAAGCGTCAAACCATTACAGACCCAAACCAAAACACTTCTAAAAACAACAAACAAAAGACAAACTACAAAACAGAGACCACCTTTCTCTTGGAGAAGATTGATCACACCAACTTGACTAAAATATTGTTCCTTTCTGTCAAAATGCTAATTGGTTAAGAAAAGTTCTCTCAAAAATTTAATATATATTCCCAGTAAGTATTACTATCTCTATTTCATGTATCACATGGATCTTCCAAAGTAAAGCACCTTATAATAGGGGAAATAAAATAAAAAGATTGACATACCATGGTACACAACAGGTTTGATTCCATGTTCTTTCAAAAATACAATTGCAGGTGCAGATTCCACTCCAAACCTGTTGCTGATAAGAAGAACATCGTCAAGGTCATACATCATTTTGGGGAAAAAGGAACAAAAAAGTAGAAAAAAGGAATAAAATCGTATGACTGTGTGTGCATATTCAATCAATAAGAGAGACAATAATAAAATATAGTTCATCCAAAACAATATATACGCAAACTAAACTAATAAATTGCAATAAGGAAAAATAGTAGCATCACCAATGACAATGCAAAAATAAAGCATCACCAATGAAGAAGGAGAAACAACAGCATCACCAATGACAATGCAAAAATGAAGCATCACCAATGAAGAAGGAAAAATAGCAGCATCACCAATGACAATGAAAAAATCAAAAAGATGTTTTCAAGCATAACAGAATCAAATAGAACCTGTAGCAGAAGTATTAGTTACGTACAATCTTTATAGCACTAACGAATTACCAAATTTACATGAATGGGAAACAGACACACATGTATTCAACCATATGGCGCAGAATTTCTCTTTCCTTTCCACTTTGATTGGTAAAAGGAAGAGACTCCTAAACACATTACAAGGAACTAGAGGATAAGGAGGATGAAGAATGAGAAGGGCACTAACAGAAACTCATTACAAAGATTGCATACTGAGGTTTATTATGACAACCTAACAAAGATTGCATACTGAGGTTTATTATGACAACCTAACAGAAACTCATAGGATCCCAAGAACAAAGAAAAAAATCCAAGTGAATAGTAAAGGCACTACATCAAAATAAGTGTAAGCTACCAATACATGCTTTAGCAATTAATCCGCACTCCTACTTTCCACTCCATGTTTGTTTAAAATTTAAAAAAAAAAAAAAAATTATATGCACTCCTACTTTCCATTTTCCAGATCTAGAATTACATTCGACATAGCAGGTGACAATGATACTAAGGTAAGTAATCAATAAAGCTCCAACATAGGCATAATTTGGTCAGAAGAATACCTTCAGAAGTGCAACAAAATCAGGAGATCGATGGAATGCAGCAAGTATGAATTCTAAGAGCCTCTTTTAAACCTATATGCATAAATCACAATGCATTGTGAATGTTTCAAGCACAAAAATAATTTCAGCATTTAGATAACAATCGACAGAGATATATGATGTAGTACAAGTAGAGATAGAGAAAGAAGCAGCAGAGAAAGGGGAGAAGAAGAATGAGAATCGGATAGGAGATAGAAGCAGAGACAAGAAGAGATGGTGAGAGTATCTAATGGGGAGAGAGAGAGAGAGGGAGAGAGGTACAAAAATTCTTAATAACTTCAATTATGCCACAATCTAATAAAATTCATACACCAACACTGTGTATATATAAGGCTGACGAATAAAAATAAATAGATATACACAAAATAACTCATGAACAGATTTAAACTCCTAAATAACTCAAACTCCCAATTATTAATGCCTTATCAATCTTCATCAATTCTCCCCACTAAGAAGAACTCCCATATGCAGAACAAAGTGAAAGATAGCACTCAAATTATTCAGAATTAAAGTATCAAAGATTGTCCTTAACAATCGGAGTGGCAACAGTGATGAAGCCAGAGCATATTATTCATATATTTCAAATCAATGATGAACCCAACACGATTCCAATTAGAAAAACTTCAATCACTTCCGATTCCTTTGAAACCAAAAATAAAAAATAAACTAAAATAAAACAAACTTGAATAATAATTTGAATTTTTTTTTTTAAAAAAAAACCCCACTCAAAACACCCTAAACTCCTTGACATAAATTTACACCAAATTGAATTTTACTCCAATATTTACCATATCAAGAAATTCTCAAATCTATATTCAAAATTAAATTCTAAACTAAGGTCTCAAATTTTCCACTCTGCCATTAGTTTTTACAATATAGATTCAAGTAGCTCCCTTCTTTTTATGATTAAAAATAAAGAGCAAATCCCAAGTAATATTGCAATTCTAACAGCATATATGTATATATATATATATATAACTGTATACACAAAGAAGAGAGAGAGAAAGAGAGAGAGAGAGAGATCTAATAAAAACTTACAGATTTGAGAAGCCAAATATCAAACAGGTTTCATGTAGATTAATCGACCAATTAATGAACGATGAGATCTAATAAAAACAGAAAATCAGAAGTGAGAAGCCAGATCTAAGTTAGAGTGTAAAAAATCTATTAAAAATAAAAAACCTAAACAAATTGAAACTCACAAAATCGAAAGAGACAACTGCAAATCTGGAGAATCAACCTTCGAATCTTCAAGAATCAACCTTCGAATCTAATGAAGAGATGAGTACAAAGAGTGAGAGTGAGAGAATTCGAGCAAGAGCGAGAGTGAGCCTGCGACAGAGAGAATTCGAACGAGAGCGAGAGTGAGAGAAACTGCAAATCTGGAGAATCAACCTTCGAATCTTCAAGAATCAACCTTCAAATCTTCAACAAACTTCATAGATCTGATGAAGAGATGAGTACAGAGAGTGAGAGTGAGACTGAGAGAGAGAAAGAATTCAAGCAAGAGCGACAGTGAGACTAAGATAGAGGGAATGAGAGCGAGAGCGAGAGTGAGAGACAACTGCAAATCTGGAGAATCAACCTTCGAATCTTCAAGAATCAACCTTCAAATCTTTGACAAACTTCATAGATCTGATAAAGAGATGAGTACAGAGAGTGAGAATGAGACTGAGAGTGAGAGAGAATTTGAGCGAGAGTGAAAGTAAGACTGAGACTGAGAGAGACTTTGAGCGAGGGTGAGAGTGAGAGTGAATTCGAGCAAGAGTGAGTGGGAGGGAGAGAGTGAGATAGGATATGTAACGGCGTCAGATATGCACCCACAACAACACTGCTTTGAAATTTAATTAACACAGCACTGTAGTTTTTAATTTTTAATTGATCAATGATGGCGTTTTAATAAAAATGCCATAAAAAAAAATGTTGCCGTAACTTGTTTTTGTTGTAGTGAGTATACTTTCACACTAGTAATAGTTAGAGTGAAAAATAACAAAAATGATATAATAGAGCAAACAATTCATAAATATAATCTTTATTTTATTTATTTGTGATTACCATTACATGCATTTATTTATTAAAAGGTGTCAAATATATGTAAATATAAATATTAATCGTGCGACGTGCAATTCAGATTTTACTTGTGGTGGGTTTGGGCTGAGGATTTCGCGTTAAGATGGCGGCCCAAACAAAGTGGCCCCTTCTATGCATGATTGTTGATTTCGCCTCGTCATACATAGATCATGTCATACATAGATGACGGTAAGACCTACCATAGAAAGTTAGTTTTACAAAAATTGCTTTATTGCCTCCGTGTCATTTACTATTTAGACAATGTGTAGTTTATTTTTCCAATAATGTTTCTAGCTCAAATTATATTGGCTCGAATGACTCTAATATCTAAAACTACATTGTTTTGGGTATTTTTTTTTATTTTTTCCTTTTGCTTCTCGTTTCTCTCTCAAACGTTGAGCTCCTCAATTTTTTGAGAAATCTAGATCTATTCCCCTCTGTTTTCTCTTTGAAACACACAGAAGAAAGAGAACCGAAGGAGAGAAAGAGGAGAGAGAGAGAGAAGAAGAGAAAGATGAGGGTGTTGCTGGGATTTCATTTGTGTTGCCTTGCTATCATAGCCCACTTGTTCCCATACATTTTATGTGCAGCCGACAATCTTTCCTCTTCTTCCTCACTGAAATCCCTCTTGTTTATCCTTGGACCTAACTGGTTAAACCACCTCAATCTGCAATCTTCCCTACAACCACAAAAAAATAAAAATAAAAATAAAAAAATAAATAAAAGAAAAGAAAAGATTAATGGGTTTTTTTCTTAGGACCCAAACAAGGAAAAGAAAATGAATTTGTGGACATAAATAATAGGGAGAGATGGATTAATTACTTGATCATCCTTGAAGTTTTTCAACAATCAAGTTTCAATTTTGAGGACCATATTGGGTAACAAGTTCTTTGAGCTTGGAATCTTCATGAGGTCTTCAATGTCCTCTGACACAAAGCTTTGTGCACCCAAATTTCTTTTCAATAATATCCTTATCATTACCTTGGTCTAAATCAAGCCCATTTCTATCAATCCCACCAGAACCCATATCAGTCCCATCATCTGTTTCCTTTCCTCCATTGGAGCAAAACTCCAAGGTTTGTTCTGAAATGGGGGATTTTGAATATGATGATACCCATTTCTCTCTCCAAAATGGTTCACGGAGAAAGAAAGTTGACTGAGGGAGTTGGAATCAGGGAGTTGATATCCTTGAACCCATTGAGATCATGACCGCCATTATTGTTCATGTGTTGGAGATTCATTTGTAACAGAAAACCCAGATGGAAACAAGAGAGAAAATGTGAAAAAATAAAGGGAAAAGATGAAGCTTTTTAAAGAAATAGGGTATGTTTGGCTATTGAGAAAATCGAAAAAGAGTAGGGAAGCTGGGAATTCGTTTGTGCTGCCTTCACTGTCGACCCTCCTCTGTGTTGCCTTTTCCTTCTCTCTTCCTTTCTCTTTCTTTTCTGGCCTCTCTGTTTCAGAGAGAGGCCAAAAAAAAAAAAAAGAAAATTTGCCAAAACGACGTCATTTTGACACCTCAAGCCATTCTAGCCAGCCCCATTTCGAGCTACCTAGCAGAGTTGTTGTTTTCTTACCATTTAAAAATGACTATATATTTCTATATAGTTTATAAATTAAAGTGTACTGTTAAATATTTCATCTAACTTAACAGTAAGTGTAAAATATATGACAAATATGAAGGGTTATATGCTCATTTTTAAATTTTAAGAGAGCAATCATACATAAAATAAAATACATAGAGTTGAAGTGTATTTTGTCTTCCAAACAAACTATGGAAATATTTGTAGTTCACACACTTAACTTATATACAAGTATATTTTAGTTTTTTTATTAAATCGTTAACGGGTCTAACGAAATATTTTAGTCCATAAATCGCAAGGGATTATATGATCATTTTCAAACGTTAAGAGAGTAAATAACACGACCCAAATTAGAGTGGGATAAAGTGAAATTTGCCAAATGTGATTGGTTCGGTACTTGATTGTGTGTTCATCAACATACTTTTTTTTTTTGTTTTTGTTTTTGAATTAACTACATAAATACCCCTAAATAATTACTAACCCTCTCTACTGTTAACATCATACTAAGTGGGTGTTTGAGAAGTAGCTATTTTAGAGGTTTTTTAACTTTTTAATTATTTTAGTAGGCTATTTTAGTTTTTGTGTTTAGGAAGATGGGATTGATTTTTATTTGAATTATTGTATTGAAAAATATGTTGAAATGATATTTGAAGTTAAAATAATAAACTTATCTCTAAGATCACATTTTTTTAAAATTGATGTAAAAGAACAAAATCGTCATTTACCAATTGATGGAACAACTCGTCAATGTGACACTGTCCACGGTTTCAACTATATATATATATATATTTTAATATAAAGGTTTGGTTTAGGAGATTTTTGAATTTTTTTTTAATTTGAAGTTATTTTAACGTGAAACTCATCTTCCCAAACAATCCTTAGAGATTGCGTTTGGGTAAATAGGTTAGTGGCTCTCAAATAAGAAAAAAGTCAACAAGCTTAAAAGGGATGAAAGTGAGTATCACGTGTTTCATAGACTGTCAGTACAGGTGGTTAAATGACAATTTTGCCCCCTCTACGTCAGGACGTTATTACTTGAGAAAATGAGATTTTGTTGGTGTTGAAGCGAATTTTTATATAAATTTTTTTAGTTGGAAGATATTATTAATTTTTTTTTTATATTTAGAAAGATAGTTAGATTTTTTTATGATTAAATGTAATTTTTGTAAGAGAAAAAATAAAATAATTATAAAATTGAATTTAATATTTTGTTTGAATATATGTCTTTTTGATTTTACAAAAAATTTATCTTTTTGCAAGAAAAATAAAAAAACAACCCAACACACAATCTTCCCAAGATAAGAACAATTTGGTCATTTCTCATTCAAATATTTCAAACTCATTTTTTAATACAACAATTAACCAAAATACTTCTTGAAACGAATCACTGGTTTTTCTTCCCCAGTTTAGTTTTTTGTCACTTTTGATTTGTGAAACATATGGGTGTTTCTTTAATGGCTTATTTTGTGACCATTTTTTGGCTTTTGCTTTTCTGGGTCACTGCACTCTCAGCAATTCAGGGAAGCTATGACCAGAACTACGCGAGATCAATTCTGAGCTCAGCCAAAAAAGATAGAGACTGGTTAGTTTCTATAAGAAGGAAAATCCATGAAAACCCAGAACTCCGATTCGAAGAACACAACACCAGTGCTCTCATTCGTAAAGAACTCGATAGACTTGGCATCTCTTACACTTACCCACTTGCCAAAACCGGTTTGGTTGCCCAAATTGGCTCTGCTTCTCGCCCTGTTGTGGCTCTTCGTGCCGACATGGATGCCCTTCCTTTGCAGGTAATTTGCAGTCCCAGTTCACCCCCAATTTCCTCTTATATATTCAGGAATGTATGTTTCAATAGTTTTCCTTGTTGGATTGCTTGATACTATCCTTATTTATTTATGTATTTCTTTTGGGACAGTTGGTGATTTAATATGATATTAGAGCTCAGGTTGGGGAGGTTTTGGGTTTAAATCCCTTTGTTTGCATTTAGTCTGGTTTACATTCTTTCTTCTGTCATTTGTATTATTTTTTCTCTCTATGTATAGATGTTTGCATCTCCATATACAATCCTTTCTTGCACGCGAGGGAGGGTGTTGGATAGCTTGATATTCGTACTTAGGCCTCGTTTGGGAACATGCTAATTTAGTAACTTTTTGGCTATTTGGCTAAAATATGAGCTAAAAAAACCTAGTATGTTTGGGATGACTTTTTGGCTTTTTACGAAAAGAAGTGCAAAAAGTAGAGAGAAAAGAGAATCTTTGACTTTTTGGTATGGGTTGCTGGCTTTTTGGCTAATTTAGTAACTTTTTGACTTTTTAGCTAAAAGGAAGAGTTCACAAACGAGGCTTTAGTCCCATTTTCTAACAGTTTAAGCTTTTGAACAATTGGTGATTTAACATTCTTGTCATTCTGCTTTTGAATATTTATAGGAGTTGGTTGAGTGGGAGTATAAGAGCAAAATAGATGGGAAAATGCATGGATGTGGACATGATGCGCATACAACAATGCTGCTCGGTGCTGCTAAGTTGCTCAACGAAAGGAAAGATAATCTTAAAGTGAGTTTTAAATTGCAACAAACAATGTGATGCTGTCAATTCTTGAATTAGGTCAATATCCTGTTGACTAATTCATATCTTGATGCTTCAAAAATCAAAACACTATGCTAGTTATACTTAAATGTCAATCAGTAAAGTTCTGGCATTCGCAATCAAAACACTATGCTAATTATATTTATTGTTTGCAAATCTATAAAGTTCTTGATGCTAATTTGTTTGCAGATTATAGTTTCTCTATTCTTGAACTCAAATTTTTTAAGTTTGTCTTCATAACAATCTGGTGTTTGTTCTATCCTTGATCTTACAAATGGATCATCCAGATGAAATTGTATTATTTTTTTTCTCTCTCTCTCTATGTATAGATGTTTGCATCTCCATATACAATCCTGTCTTGCACGCGAGGGAGGGTGTTGGATAGCTTGATATTCGTACTTAGTCCCATTTTCTAACAGTTTAAGCTTTTGAACAATTGGTGATTTAACATTCTTGTCATTCTGCTTTTGAATATTTATAGGAGTTGGTTGAGTGGGAGCATAAGAGCAAAATAGATGGGAAAATGCATGGATGTGGACATGATGCGCATACAACAATGCTGCTCGGTGCTGCTAAGTTGCTCAACGAAAGGAAAGATAATCTTAAAGTGAGTTTTAAATTGCAACAAACAATGTGATGCTGTCAATTCTTGAATTAGGTCAATATCCTGTTGACTAATTCATATCTTGATGCTTCAAAAATCAAAACACTACGCTAGTTATACTTAAATGTCAATCAGTAAAGTTCTGGCATTCGCAATCAAAACACTATGCTAATTATATTTATTGTTTGCAAATCTATGAAGTTCTTGATGCTAATTTGTTTGCAGATTATAGTTTCTCTATTCTTGAACTCAAATTTTTTAAGTTTGTCTTCATAACAATCTGGTGTTTGTTCTATCCTTGATCTTACAAATGGATCATCCAGATGAAATTCAATTCCCTCACGGAGAAAAGAAATTAAGCTTAAAACTCCAAAAATTGACAAAATGATTTCTAAATGTAGTGGTAAAACACTGATTGGTTGGAATACTAGCAGTTGTAGTGATTTAAAAGTCATAACATTTCCCTCAGTTTTGATTCTAATCATCACACAAATTGCCTCAAAAACCAACTTCCTTCAATCACCAGTTTTTTTGTATTCTTAAATCAAATTAAGCTAATCTAGTGCTTGTTCACTGGAATGAAATAGATGGAATGGAATGGCCACTCCTTGGCATCCTTGGGGATGACTATTTTCTTACAATGATAAATGATGATTTCATATGTAGTACATTTTTCACAATTTTTTTAGTGAACCAAATGCGGAAAATGGTCATTATGATTGAATGATCATTCCATTCTACTTCATTCCAGTGACCCAAATAGAGCATAATAGTTTTATAAGTCATGCTGTTCTATTGTACATTCTTAGTTCCAAACTGCAATGTGTTGATTGATTTCCCTAGGCACGAGAATATTTCTACTTTCTACATGTGTACTAAGTGCCACTAGTGAAACTTTGTGTGGATGATGGTATAAATTAGTGGCAGATTTAAGTGTAGACCAAGGGTGCTTGCGTCCCCCCAAATTTTTGAAAATTGCACTAGCACGCTATGTCCCCTCAAATTTTGAGATTACTACGTATGGCCCCTCCCAAATATGTTCTTCCCCCTCCCTAATTCTAAAAGGGAGTTGCATCCGTATTGTACTTGTATCGGATACTTGTTGATACATATCCAATACTTCCTAAACGCATTTGATACTTGATATTAATTTTGAGAAGTTTTGATAAGTATTGGATACTTTTTAGACACTCTAACTCACATATCCAAACTATTATGAAATCGAAATTGTAATAATTTTTGCATAGTATTAGAATCAATACAAAAATAGCTTTTCAATAGTGAGATTAAAATAGTTTTCCACTTTTCATTTGGGAGAATTACAAAACAAAAAAACTCTAGGGTTTGACCTTTGTAACAAAATAAACCCTATTTTTTTTTTCTTTCTTCAATTTAAATCCTTGTCTTTTGATTTGTTTTCAATTTAAACAACTCCTTATTTTCATTAAGTAAAACCGACGGAAAAAGAATATTTTAGTCATTAAACTCAATGTAGGTATATATGTCTAAAATACCAATTTTTGTTGACTTTAATGACTAAAATATCAGTTTTTTCATCAGTTTTATTTAACGAAAATATGCAGATGGTTTAGATTAAAAAAAATCAAGAGATTAGAGTTTAAATTGATAAAATTAAAAATTCATGATTTATTTTGTTGCAATTGTCAAATTCTAAGTTTATTTTTTATATTTTTTATATGTAATTTTCCCTTCCTATTTTTTTTTTTTTTTTATCAAATTAACTAATCCACTAAAGAAAAAAAAGTAAATAGATTATTGGCTCTTAAACTAATATCTAATTCCTAATGAATGATCTCTCACTATTCTTTGACCTCATGTATAATATAATAGTAAAAATCATTAAGGGGTTGTTTGGGATAAACTAAATAAGTGCACTTTTTGATTTTTTATGAAATATGGGTTGGGTATGAGTTGGGTTTGAAATGATGTGGTAGACAGGTGATGTGACTTAAATAAGATAACCAAACCAAACCAAACCAAATCAAGCCTTAAGTCCCATCAAATGGGGTCGGCTACATGACTTTTTTGACTTAAATAAGATGATGTGACTTAAATAGGATAGTGACTTTTTGACTTTTTTAAGTTATGTCAAACCAAGTCTAAATTTATTTTTTAACATATCATGGCCGTACCCGTATCCTAATTTTTTAAAGATTTTATTATATCGCCATATCTGTATTGTATTATATCTGTATCTTGTATATGTATCCATGCTTCATAGCAGATTGCTCACTTTTGGCTGGAAATCAAATGCAGAAGCCATGTCTAGTAGTTGCATCAAGTGCTTGAGTACCTATAGAGGCTACAATGGCTAAAATATGTACGACTCTGCATGTGTTGTTCATTATAGCATTGGGATGTCCATGGTGAATCCTCTATTTCTCTCTCTCTCTTTCTAAGATTGATCGAGGCGCAAGCCCTCAAGGGAGGATGGGATGAGCCACCTCAATGAACCCATCAAGTCACAAAACCCTGTAATCCCAAGTTAGGGTCATGGGTCACTCGAGTGCGTCCCATGACCAAGATACTAGCCCTAGGTCTTTTAATGAGTCCAAGTTAGTATAAGAGCCTTGTACCAATTGAAAAACTTTTGTGATTCGTGATCCAAAATAGATTCAATTACTACAGTTCCTAAACACATAAAAACAAACAATCTAAATCATCTTGCCCGTACGAAAGTGATTTAGCTTGTTGTTTCACGATTGATAAATCAAACATAAAGATTTTAACGTGGAAAAAATCACAATTGGAGCACCTCAAATTGTGATAAAAAACAATGGGCTAAATGTCACTAAAAAATCCACTATGAAGATAATAAAATTACATAAGAGTGCAAGCAATTACCCCTCACTTACTCATGAATTGACTCCTATTCCTTGTGTCTCTTCCATCCATATCTTTGTCTTGGAATTGATCAAGTGTTGAATCCACAAAACCCAAGTTGAGTCCACAATACTGAGCAACTTTCAACTCTTTCAAAGCTTCCAAGCCCAAAATCTTTGGAATTCACCGATGAAACGCCTTGTTGAAATTAAATCGTGACCAATCCCTTGATATATGCAGCTTAATCCATTTGAGGCGACAAACTCACAAAGTTACCAAGGGAAAACACTAACTAGGCCCTCCAGATGTAAACATGAACGCCCACAAGTCTCTTGTTTCAGATCTAGAAGCCGTAATCCTAAAATTTGCATCTTTCGCAGCTTTATATGGAACAGGGTCGCGAAGACTGCTTGAGTGTAGAAATGATTTTTCAAGCGGTATGTCCAAGAGGCGGTGGAACAATAAGTGCTTTCGCTCGAGCAATAGAAAGATCGCTTGAGCGAAGAATGAATCCTTCCAGTATTTTTGGAACAAGTTTGAACATCGCTCGAGCCACCACTTCATTGCTCGAGTGGTCCAAGAATAAGCAAAGGCTTAACAATTTTTACAACTCAAACGTGCTTGTTCACGAAATTGACAACACAAGGGACCTAACAGGTGCCTTAGGAGGTCTTGTAAGTTGGGAGGATTAGTTGTTCTCAATTGATTTGAGGCAAGTCCCAACTAGGTCATAGCATGGAGATGGGAATGCGTGTGCTTGTTGGGGTTGCCTCTAGTGTTCTTGGCTCTAGGTTGGGCATGTGGCGATGCCTTGTTTGCTTAACATGTTGTTTTGTGGAGCTATATATCTTATTTTGGTAAGGCCTGACGTGATGATGATGTGAATAGGCCAGATGGACAATGGACTCATGTACCTAGTAGCGGAGCCACTATAAGTCTATGAAGGGCACGAGCCCCTCAACTTTTTAAAAAGTATAGGGTTAATTACAATTTTCACTCTTGTAGTTTGACTCAAATTTCACTTTAGTCCCTATAGTTTCAATTTGAACAATTTAGTTCTTACACTTTGAGTCTAGTTTCAATTTGGTCATTCTGTCTAAATTTTTGTTAATTTTGCTTATGTGTATATCTTAGAAAATTGACAAGTATTCTAAAATTGTTAATTTTAATCTCCAATTTAGATGGAAGAACCAAATTGAAACTTCAGAAAATTGACGAGTGTCGTAAAATTGTTAAATTTAACATCGAGTTTAGAAAGAAGAACTAAATTGAAACTAGACTTGAAGTGTAGGGACCAAATTGTTTAAATTGAAACTATAGGGACTAAAATGAAATTTGGGTCAAACTATAAGGGTGAAAAGTGTAATTAACCCAAAATTATATTTTATGCCTATGGTTTGAAAATTCTGTCCAATTTTTTCCTCAAAATTATTATGTGCCCCCTAAATGTTTTCCATTCTTCTTCCAATAAACACAACACATCATTTAGTAGAATATGGACATAGATTGACTCTCATTT